CAGCCCCCAGGCGGGGTCTGGCGCAGTGTCCCCGTGGTGGGACGCTGCCTCCGGCCAGCTGGGCACCCAGGGGAGACCCTGGGCAGGGGCCCGCTGGGGCCACCTTAACTCCCTGGCGGTGATTGGGGTGGTGGCCCAGGGAGGTTTAAAAGCTGCTGCAGGCAGGAGCAGCAGAGGGGAGGCAGAGGATGGAGGTGTTTCTTTCCTGAGGTCCAGCTGGCACCAGACTGGCACCCCTGACCCCACTGGGCATCCCGGGCTTGGGCAGCACTGCTGCTCTGCACGCATGTGTCCCTGTGCCATCCCAGGACCTGGTGGCATTGAGGTCTCCCCTCATCTCAATGGGGTCCCCCTTGACCACCCCACCCTGTGCCACTTGGCACCGTCCCCAACCCAGCGAGCAGCATGAGGATGTGCCAAGGTATTTATTTCCAGCACGACAAGGAGAGGGTACAGGGCTGTGGGCTGGTGCCAGGGGCAATGCTCAGGAGGGTGAGCAGGCGGGGAACTGGGGGTCCTGGGGGCCCGCACCCCCCCGGAGCCGCAGGAGCAGGAAGATGGTGCTCCTGGGCTGGACGTTGTAGTGCTCCAGCATGTGCCGGTCCTCCAGCTCCCTGGAGCCATACGTCAGGCGCTGCTGGTCGGCGGGAGGCCCCTGCCGGGCGTGGATCTGCTCCTTCAGCTGCCGGACGGTGTCAGTGGGCTGCACCGTATAGGTGGTGGTCCGGTTCTTGTCATCCTTGACGAAGACCTCCATCGCCTGGGGCTTGGTGTGCAGCAGCATCAGCGTGGTATTGTAGAAGATGCCGTGGGTGGCCAGCGTCTTGTTGTCCTGCAGGATGAGGGTGCTCCTGTTTGGCTCCTGCTGCGCCAGGCGCTGGCTGTACCGGGGGATGCCCCACTCCTGCTCGATCTTCTCCTTCAGCTGCCAGATGGTGGTGCACGGGCTGACAGTCATGCTCAGGCTGGTGCCTACCAGCTGCCTCACCTCAATCGTCACGAGCCGGGCTGGCTGCGGGGACAGGAGAATAGGTGGGCAAAGCCAGCAGGGGCAGGAGGGGCCACGATGCCGCAGGTGCAGGCAGCCTTACCTGCACATTCCAGGGCTGGGCAGCATTGACACAGGGCAGCAAACAGCAGCGGGCAGCTTCCTGCGCCACCAGGTCCCAATTCTTGCCTTGGCCCAGGATCCCCGTGGGGTCGGCGGGGTCCAGGATGACAGGGCTGCAAACACAGAGGGAGGGCGTTGCCGCCAGCCCCGGGCAGTGCTGTGGGGCGGGTGGCACACATCCCACTGGGCATGGTCCTCACCGGGGCCTGCACAGCAGCCTTTTCACATGGGCACCTATCTGGCTGTGCTTGAGTGAGTAATACGTCTCCCAGTAGATGCAGATCTCCCGGTGCCGGCACAGCAGCTCCAGCACTGTACGGAAGCCCTCGGCTGTGCTGAAGGACTCGTGGGAGCCCGTGCCCTCCTCCCAGACGTAGATGGTCAGCAGCTCCAGGGCATACTTGGGGGGCAGGTCTGCATTAGGGTACTTTGGCTTCAGCAGCTGGGGAGAAGACAGGGATGGGGGTGAGAGCTGGCCAGGGCAGGTGCCCAGTGGGTGCCGGGGAAGCCAGGCAGCCCCTCACCTCCTTGTACCAGTGCTTGACCAGCCGCAGGAGGTTCTTCAGCTTGGCAGGGTAACGCTTCACAAACTTCTTCTGCAGCTCGGTGAAGCAGGGGGAGAACTCCCCGGGGCCACCATTGGCATCCAGGAGCCCCACGTACACCCCCACGTCTGGCGGGGCATCCCGGCTCACCTGCCCTGTGGGGCAAGTAGGAGGGTGAGAGCCATCCCGGCGCTGATGCCCCAGCCTGGCCCCACGCCAACTCGCAGCCCTTACCCAAGGCATCATAGGCAGGCAGAATGTCCACCTCGATGGACTCCAAGGTCTCCTTGGAGCGGAGGGTGAGGCTGAGGGAGCGCGGTGTATTGCCGGGACCCTTGTACCGGGGCTCGCTAATGTTCACGGTGAATGTCAGGGTCTGCCTGCAGGCATGTAGCCTTCTCTCGATCAAATCCAGGATAGACTTTCTTTCCTGCTTCTGCTCCTGGTAGCTGGAGAAGCAGCTGAGGAAGAGCACCACGTCGGCGTCGGAGTTGTTCCGCAGGGCTGTGCCCTTGCCTGCTGAGCCACCCTGCGGAGAGATACCCTGCCCACTCAGCACCGCTGCCCCCCGGCACAAGGATCGCCTGTCACCATTGCTGAAGCTGTCGGGGGAAACTGAGGCAGAGCAGGAGCTGGAGCAGTGGGACAGAGAGAAGGGTGGCAGCAGGGGTGCCGGCTAGCCCCCGAGCTGAGCAGCGCTCACCTTGACGGTCTTGTGGACGCGGATGCTGGTCTCGAAGCAGTCCTCCTTCAGGAAGTCACAGATCTGCTTCACCGTCTGCTTCACCTGCCTGCAGAAATCCGTGCTGGGCTGCAGGGTCTCCATGATCCAGCCGTCCAGCTTGTTGGCGGCCACCGTCCTCAGCCCGTCCATCCTGCCAGCTGTGGTCCCTGTCGCTCCCTCTCCTGCCTGCAGCTGTCTCTCTGCCTGCTCCTGCCTGCAACAGCTTTTAAACCTTGTGGGCCACCACCCCGCTGGCGTCATCTCTGGGAAGTTAAGGTGGCCCCGGCCCCGGGGCTTCGCCTCACCCCAGCCCCCGGCCCCGGCTCCCCGGGGGGCTCCTGCCCACGGGGTCCCCCGGGTGTCCCGGGTGCCGCCGCCGCAGGGGCTGGGAGGGGGCAGGAGGGGCTGCGTGGCACTGCCATCACCCCGGCAGCCGGCTGAGGGGCAGCAGTGACGGTGGCGGCGCAGGCAGCTGCCTGCAGGCTGGGCCTGGGGTGCTGCAGGACTTTGTACCTGGGGGTGTCCGCGGTGGCACAGGGTCTCCCCTGGGTGCCCAGCTGGCCGGAGGCAGTGTCCCACCGCGGGGACCCTGCACCAGGCCCTGCCCGGTGGCTGGGGGTGCCCTGCCTGCACCAGCCCCTGCCTGTGCCCGCGCCGGGGGCTCAAGTGTCTGGGCTGAGGTGCAGCCAGTGCTGGGACATGGCTGGTGCTGGTGGCATGGTGTCACCCCAGGCAATGGGACATGGCCAATGCCAGTGCCACCAGAGGCCCTGGTGTCACCACATTCTATGGGATGCGGCTGGTGCCACTGGAGGCCCTGGTGTCACCCCAGGCAATGGGACACAACTGGCGCCGGCATCACCAGAGGCCCTGGTATCACTGTAGGCAGTGAGACGCAGCTGGTGCCAGTGCCACCACAGGTCCCGGTGTCACCCCCGGCAGTGGGACATGGCCGGTGCCAGCATCACCGCGGGTGCCGGTGTCCCCCGGCAGTGGGACATGGCCGGGGCTGGCATCCGGGGGGGGGCCCGGGGGCCCCCCGCGGGGG